CCATCAAACATTTATCTACAGAGTTTTGGCTCTTCGTAGTGGAGAATTATATTGAGAAACAAGGATCTTTGCTGAGTGTGCTCCTTGCTATTGAGAACTCTCTGACCGCAGATATTTTAGGGACAGAGTAAGATACAGCTGAACACATATATATATATGCACGTGCACACATGCGTACAAATATGTACGTATACAGACATGCATTGCAAACTGAGGTTGCATAGCAATATTTCTAATTCTAATCCAATAACTCAGAGTTTATTCTAGGCTTCTTCCTTTCTGTATTTATGACTCTCATCTCTGACAGTGAGAAATGAGGCTCCTATTTCACTTTCCCCATAACATATCTACTTAGTTAATCAATCCTTCTTCCTCCTTCCCCATCTCCCACCTACATTCACTCTGAGCACCGCCCTCATTCAACCCTGCCAGCCATGTTTTCTGTTTTCGTTTTTCTAAAAATGATTCTAGAAAAATATCAGTGTGACAATATTGTTCCCCATGTATACTTTATTCAAACATTTAAACTTGTATATAATTTCAGGCTGAAAAACAGCATCATAAAAAAAATAAAAAATAATCTTAATGGTCCAAAGACTTATTCTTGCTAAGTCTAATGCTGGCTCTGAAAGGGGCAGGTGTTGAATATCTCTCTCCTCTGCCTCACTCCTCCTGGCTCACTGGCCATGCCCTTGTTGCCCAGAAGTTGCCCCAGGAGCACTCCCCTCTGGCCCCTTCAACCCCATCTCACATTGGATTCAAAGAGGATTTTTAAATGGGCAAGCTCAGTCTCTCCCCATGCTTGACATGCTTTAGTGGCCATCCTTTGTTCCTAAGATAAGGTTGATGTGCTTTATTATGGCCTTTTCCTATGATCCATTCCATCCAAACACCAACACCAACCTCATACCCAAGCTGACTACAGCCGCAACAATCCCGTTTGCGTTGTTGAGAGGACACACACTTCTTTGTACTTCTGGGAAAGTTTGCATATTGCAGGCACACAGAAGGTGCTCAGAGTAACTGTCATGTGACTTAAAAGACAAAAAGGCCTTCACAAATCAGTTAACAAATTGCTAATCTTCACAACACCCTATGCATCAACAGCTGCATTTCATAGACTAAGGACTGAAGTTCATAGTGCCCAAAACACTTGTAAAAGGTAATGGTTTTAGAAACAGAAGTAGCATTTGTTGCCAAGTTCCTCTTATTCTGAAATCTTTGCTCTCTCGTCAGTACCAGGCTGGCTCTCTGTTTCCCATTTCCCCCCCAGTTATCGATATTTACTCCAAGAGAGAAAGAAACAGCCTCGTAAGTGTGGTATAATGTAGAAGAGTGCAGGATTTTCAGACGTTGCAAGTTCCATATCTTTAGCTCTGAAATTTCCTAGCTATGTAAACTTAGGCTATTTACTTAAACTTTTTGGCCTCAGTTTCCATATCTGCAAAACGGGAATAACAATAACTGACAGATTATATAAATATAAACTGAATTCATATACTAAGCACTCAGGACAATACCTGGCACTTACATGCAAGCTACAGGTACCAGATGAACTTTATTACTTCATTCTTGTTATTAATGATGTAGCTTCATCCTCAACATTCAGAAGGGACAGGATTTTCCTGATTAATGGTCACAGGCCAGTTGTTCCGTGATCCAGATATTCAAATCTGACTTTTAATTAGCCTCATGTGAGGGGTCGCTTTCTGGAGGCAGAAATCTACAACTTGTACAGCTTGCCGCATGACTGCTACCTCCTGGTAGGAGAGGGAGGGGCTGTAGAAGATTCTCCTTCTGATTTGCTCACCGGTCCCACCAATCTCACTGGCTTCCTTATCAAACTAATCATTTTCCAACCGCTGATCCTGACATAGGAGAAGGCCAGAATGTAATCTGCATACAGGAAAATAAGCCATTTGGCATCGAATCTAGTAACCACGCCTCCTCTGTGTTTATGCTACAGGAAGTTTTCCTTTGGGAAAGGGGGAGCTTGAAGGATGGCTTTATGTGTCTGACGTCAAGCCACAAAGCATAAAGCACCAGCATTGTACTTACTAGTGGGAGGGTGCTTCCTTAATGACATGCAACAACTGAAGGGAGATTTACATTGTATTTGATGTCTGAGAATACTTATCTCCAGGCCTCACTAACCTGTGTAAAAATTTTCCCAAGTGGAACATCACACACCGGGGCCTGTCAGGAGTTTGAGGGCAAGGGAAGGAGAACATTACGACAAATACTTAATGCATGCAGGGCTTGAAACCTAGATGGAGGGTGGATAGGTGCCGAAAACCACCATGGCACATTTACACCTACGTAGTAACAAACCTGCACCTTCTACACATGTGTCCCAGAACTTAATTAAAAAAAAAATTCAAGTAAACTAAGGCTTATAGAAAATGTTATATAGAAAGTTAAAATGAGATGTAGTGTTTGATTTTAATTTGGTCAGAGTGTAAATATTACAGGCCCTCTCAAAACACTTCTCATGGCAGCATAAGTTAAGGACTTTTATAGGAGACAATTTGGTCACATAGATTTAGTATCTTGAATATGTTAAAATATTTTTCCACATGGGATTTCCAAAGCTCAGAATTTAGACTAAAAGAAATAAGAATTTGCGTAAAAGTCTCTGCGCAAAGATCAGGCCTTCCTGGGTGTTATTATTTTATCTCATTGATTTATTTACTATTTTTGTCTCCTTCATTGATTTAACATCTAATAAGATGCAAGCTCAGTTAAAGTGGTGGCATTTTCTGCATTTTTCTCAGCCACATAACAAGTGCTGAGATTACCTGGTATGTAGCAAACACCTAATTTTCTGTTTAACCATTCAGAGAATGATTGTTGTGATACGCCTGACAGCAAGAACAAGTGTTGGGAGAAACCTCAATGTAAAACTTTAAGTAGACTGAACGAGTACAGCCAAATATGGGCTAGCCGAAATCTGTCAAAAAGTCATCAGTGTCTTTGAAGAACATTGACTGTCATAGAAAGAAAATCTCAAGCCACATTTTTACACAGAAAAGCAGATCATGAATTGTACAATCTTACTTTGTCAAAAATTTTAACAGAGATAAAAAATATTGAGTGTTTGTATATGGTGATGGAGCTAAACGTAATTTTTATTATTTCCTTTAAAATTATCCTTTTTAAAGTATTATAATAAACTGCATTATGTTCTAATGTTTAAATAGTTTTTTTTCAAAGAGAGGATTTTAAAGATCATGTAACCACTTGAAAAGTGGTTAGAAAATAATTTAAGTCTAAGTAGGAATATGTAAGTATGTGTTGCATTATAACTATGAAAAAGTTGTTAGTGTATAGATAGAGAATAGACAAATGAAGCTGATTTGTTGAGGCAGTTTTCTTTCTTTCCCTCACTTTCTCCCTCCTTCCTTCCCTCCCTGCTTACCCCTGCTCTCCCCTCCTCCCTCCCTTCCTGCCTTCCTGGCTTCCCTGCCTTCCCTACCCTTCCTTCCCTTCCCTCCCTCCTTCCTTCCTTCCCTTCCTTCCCTTCCTTTCCTTCCTTCCCTTTCCTTCCCTTTCCTTCCCTTCCCTTCCCTTCCCTTCCCTTCCCTTCCCTTCCCTTCCCTCCTCTTCCTTCCCTTCACTTCCCTTCCCCTTCCTTCCTTCCTTCCTTCCTTCCTTCCTTCCTTCCTTCCTTCCTTCCATTCCTTCCTTCTCTCCCTCCCTGTTGTTCCCTCCCTTCCTTCAGTGCCTCCCTTTCTTCCCTCCCTCCCTCTGTCTCTTTCCCTTCTTTCTCTTCCTTCCTTCTTCTTTCTTTTTCTTTATGTCCTTCTTTCTTTTCTAATTCTAATTCCATGAGTAGCTTTGCTAAAAACACACAATTAGAAAGCTATCTCATTAGCCATTTTGCCAATTATTTCTGAAAACTAGAGTTGGGTAGTGGTACCTGTTTTAGAAATTGTCAGACCCTTCTTTACTCAAGTATTTCAGGATATCCTTAAACCATTGTTCCTACAAAATAAAGCATGTACGGAGATGAACAATCAATGAGTTATATTTTTAGCTGGATTTTGCACTTTAGAGACCTTCAGCTTTGATCCAAAGTTCTCTGTAAGGAATAGAAACTATGAACACTTTTGAGGTACTTATATGTTGTCTTTCTGCTGTCAGATACTTCTGAGGTATTCTATTATATTTAAAATTTTTCAGCACTTTTTACTCTCCTAAGTCTTTAACCAGAAGAGAAATAGCTAACACGAAGCACAGGGAAATGAGTTCCCCTTGGATACAGAAACAAGGTCAGCCTGAGGCAGGAATTTAATTATCAATCTGTGGGGAGTCCAAGCGTACAAATCCTACAATAGAAAATGAATATATATTAGTCTTCAGGTTTTATAGGTTTTTCCAATTTTAATTCTTTAAAAAATTCTATGGAAACCATGTGATATTTTACGGATTTGTGGTGGCTTGCTATTGCCATGATCCTGTGGATGGCATGAAGTTCAACTGATATATGACAATCGTATGCTCTTTCACATACACAAAAAATGGGCCAGCGTGAGATTAAGAGCAAAACAACAAAACTTTGCTTTTATCTTTATCTTTTCTACATTTTCTAATTCCAGGTCTTACCGAAATCTTTGTTTTTTTTTGCATTTTATTGAGAAAAAAAAAGAATTAAAAAATAGTGGTAACAACTGACATTTAAATTCAAGCTACTTTCAACCAAACTTTCTTAACTTTCTTCTTCCTCGGTGAACTCCTGCAGAGCTTGTCCCTCTTCCCTCACCCATGGCGGGACTACAGAGTCTGCTTGCTAGTTATTTAAGCAGATAGCTGAGTGCCAGTGCATGTCTGTGCATCTGCATTTTCTTTTCTGTGTCTAGTTTTTTCTTTCTCTTTAATTTGTCTTTATCTCGTCTCTTCTTTCATTCCATAAATCATTTGCTTTGTGAGCTACTTATGAACCCAGAGGCACTATTCCCTGAAGAAAAGCCATTCAAATACTGACTCATTACTGACCATACCTTGAGGATCTTGCACATAATCTCATAAACTGAGAATGTTTTCTCTGCTCTTGTCCAGTCCCAGGTGGTTACCTTAAGAGATAAGAAAATAATGTGTAATTTGTTTGAGAAAGTTATTTACCACTCTATTTGATTTGCATACATATGGTGAAAAATAAGCAAAACTTTCAGAGATGTGTCTATTTAGTCTCTCATCTGTGAAGCTATGTTCATAAAGGACCCTACATAATACTCTTGTTTCCTCTATTCCAAGGTTTGTCACCGTTTGTCTCATGCTTTCAGCAAACCATTTATGTGCAACAGTTCTCATTTGCCCAGTGTCCTTAGGAATCTCAAATAATGTATATATTCTCTACCTATAAATACTAAATATTTACATTCCACAAACAAATAATTTTTTTTCTCTATTTACCAGTTAAATACAGAGAATACTAGAGCTCAACACAGCTCTATTTTTTTAAATATACGTAATTTATATTAAGAAATTCAGGATGACTGTGACATTGCAAACACACTGAATGCGCAATGCAGTTATTTCACTCACTCAGGTTAGAAACATAGATTTACTTGTCTTGTCAAAGAAATTATTCGGAGTAGGAATAGACTAAAATACATAAATATTAATTTTTCCCAGTCGTCCTAGTGCTTTAAACTCTGTGTAGACACAGACATTTAAAACAGCAGCAAGTCAGACCTGATGATTTCTAAATCCTATGTATCATTAAACCCGCAAGAGACTGGTCTGCCATGTGCTATTTATATTCAATAAATATTTATTGAGTGTTTTCTGAGCTGCAAAGAACCTGTTTCCCAAAGCAAGACTTGAGGTCCAGTAGGTATCTATACATATTTAATACAATCTCAGTAACTCTAACATAGAGTATAACAGAAGATAAAAGTGCTATTGATTTTACCTAGAGAGACCTGTACAACATAGATAAATATAGTCTGACTGTCATAAATGATAGCTTACCAGAATGTATTTGTGATGTTTGCCAAGTGTGGAATCCCCTATTTTAAACGAACAACCTGAGAGTTAACATCATCTTATGGAATTACCACTAGAGTGAGATTTAATAACAGCTAGACAAGATGCTATCATTTTGAGATATCCTATTATTCTTTGCTAATAATAAATTACTAGTAATTTAAAGTACTGAATACATTTTTAAACACTTTCGAAAGATCCTTTGAAAATAAGTTTAGTAAACATGTTCATTCACGTAGAGCTCTAAAACAGTTTACTCTTTTTTATTCCACTTCTGATATATTAATTTCTTTAGCTTCTATTCAATGAACAAAATACACTGACATATGCTTGAAAATGCTTCTTAAAATCTCCTTTCCCGTGTCTTCATGGGATTTTTAACAGCATTTCAATTTGATCCATTATTTTATAGGTTCACCAATTATAAATAACTAATTTCCAGACTTTCCCAGGGTGATAAAGCAAATGTTTAATGTCAGAAAATATATTTTTAGTAAATTAAATCAGATAAACTGGTTTCTATTTTTTCTCTATCATATTTTTAAAAATATTGATAGTATACTATTGGATGTTGTTACGTTGGTGTCAGTCTGTTGTGATAATATGGAAAAGACCAGTACATTTCGATAAAACGCTTACTGGAGGTGCCAGAAACTTGTACAGACACGAGCCCCGTAGGGCCAGGAAGGTCGGGGAATACACTCTGTCCTGAAGGGGGTCTTGCTCCCGGGCCTCACACCAGCCCATGTAGACAATCTGCAAGAAAATGGAATACAATTGACTGTCAAAAACTTTTTATTTTAGATATTTTATGTCTAAAAGATATTTAGATATAAATATCAAAAATACTTTAGATATTTTTCATGCAGTATTATAACCTCACATGAAATTATCACATTGATAGATGCAATAAAGTACATTAAACAAGATTTATCTTCAGTAAATGAATGTAAATCACTCATGAGAATTTCTTATCTGTTTCCATCAGCATTTATCCAGGGTTTATTTATACCATCCAACCTACCATGGATTGTATTTCCCACTCTACCAATTCTTACAGAAAAAGGTTTATTTGTAATAGAATTCATTGATGGATCCCACCTGTTTACCCATCACTGACATTTTATTAACTGGGAATCTGCTTCAATACACAATGTTAAAGTGAGCAAGGGAAGCAGGTCAGAGAGACATCTGTGGCATTACCACGAGGGAGGTGCCGCACTTCTCCACTGTGCCTGCCAGGCGAGAATTACAACTGTCCCCCTTTAACCCCTGATTTCCCATGAATACAATTTATGCTAGTCTATTCCTATATTGAGTGGCATTAAAACTAACTCCTTAGCCGCTAGCACTTAAATCTAGGTGGATCGATTTCCAGATGAAGATTTTGTGAGATAAGCCACTCCTCTGTTTATGATCTGATTTTTGTAAGAGTCAAACATATACATAAACACTTAATAAATCATTAATGACATTTCTAACAACATATTCATGTGGCATTCCATTTCTTTCTCATCACAGCTCTATGTGCAAGGCTGTATGCCCCACTCAATATGATTTATATTGGCTTTATGGTTGGCAGAGGTAATTGCCCGCCCTAAACATTTTTTTCTTTTTGTTTTTTGTCTCCTAAGACCTTCTATCATCAATAGAATGTTAATGAACATGATACAAATTGAGTTAGTTTAGTGTCTCATGCTTTTGCCATTACCATGAAAAGCTCATACCTAGGATAGGAACAACACAGCAGACCAGAGCCCAGCTTAACAGCAGGACCAAGCCCAGCTAGCTTCATGCTGGTGGCTAACCACAAACAGTTCACTTTCAGAGAGAAAGAAATACTTATTGTTGTATTTCAGCTAGAATGGGGGTGGGTTGTTGTCCAGCATTAATGTGGTAACAACTGGCAGATAACAATGCAAGAATTTGACATGCAAGTTTTGGAATATTACTATTGTCTATTCACAGATCCCATCTTCTTTCTATAAATTATATTTACCCTCTAAAATACTTAGACTGTTCACCATCTCATTATCTCAGTTTGTCTTACAATAAGGCTCTGAGCTATAAAGTCCTTGAATTAATATATTAAGGGATTGTGAGTTAAATTAATTAGCTTAACAAATGAATGAAACTTGGTACAAGTTAGAATTTGAATTTGAACCAAGATGGCTTGCTCTTCTAATTATCTAATGTATTCTGTAATCTTTTAGATTGCTGACATATGCATTACACAGAGACTTCATGGTTAATAATAACATAATAAGAACCAGCTATAATAACTGATGATTTTGTATTGCGTATATGATCAGATAACATGACAGTTTTGAAAGAGTAAATGAGTGTAATAGATAACCATCCCATAAAGAGAAGGATGACTTGCTTTAATAAATATTCAATGTGTCAAAATAATTACACGAGTTAAAAATGAAAGCATATGACAGTTTACCCTTCCAGCACTTGCATACTAGAGAATATCGACAACCTACCATCTAGTGTTACCTTAGGAAACTGGAAAAAATATGCTTAACGCACTAGATATTTTATAGGGTATTAAAGAACAACCGGGAAAAAATTACAGTAATATGAAAATTGACAGAGGTTAATCATTGATACAAATGTGGGATCGGTTTTTGCCGTGTAACCACTTCCTATACAGAAATGTCACATGAGGCACTCAGCTACACTGGGGAATCTTACAGGTTTGGAACAAAATATTAAAGTCCAGGATTCTCCACGTGTGAAGGTCTTAGTAAACATGCTCTGCTTTTAGTTAGGACCAGAATAATAACGTCCTAATAACAAAGTTAAAGCAGAAGTCATCAAGCCCTTGCAAAGACTGGAGCTCAGATTTGAGCCACTGAAATGATGCAGAGAATGTCAGGCTTGAAATGGTTTATGATGATCCTGGAGTTCTCTCTGGCTCCTGACTAAAGAAAATGGAAATCCTTTCTGGATGACAATAATATTACATGTGTCAATAGATTTTCATAAGAATCGTCTCTTGGAACAGAATAAAAATAACCAAGGATATAAGGAAATAAAACTTCATAAAGTTCATCAGGAGAAAACCATGAATAAAAACAACAGACAGCAGAACTGAATATTTAGGCCTTTCAGATATGGAAATTTTCTAATACAGACATTAATTTAACTAGGTTTGCTATGTATAAGAACAAAAGATACAAGATTGAAACTTTCATCAGTGTACATCTGAGATAATAGATTATAAAGCATTCCCATTAGAAATTAGACAAATATATATAAAACATACAGTTGGGTTTAACAACATATTTAAAAAACAGCTAAAGAAATAATTAGTGAATAGAAAGATGGCTCAGTAAAAAATATCTAGAATAATGATTGGAGAGACAAAATTTGGGAAAACATACACGAGAATAAGAGAAAAAGGTGTTACAGTGAGAGACATAAACTTCCAGGTTGAGTCCCAACCCAAGCACAGAAAAGAAAGAGAATGAACAGAAGCTGTATATAAAGGATGATGGCAAAGAATTTTCCCAAATAGATAAAAATAAGTCAATACACAGATTCAGAAGACAAGCAAAACAAAAGCTAGATAAATATAAACACGCCAAGGCACTTCAGCGTGAGTCTTCAGAAAAGCAAAGACAACAAAGAACATAGTAAAAGTGACAAGAGCCAAAAAAAAATAAAACCCAAAATATTCCCTTTGCAGGAATAATAATTGGATTGGAAAGTAACTTCTCAAAAGAAACAACAAAAAATAGAATATTATGGAACGTGAACTTCAATTACAGAATAAAAATGACAGCCAATGACAGATGTTATACATAGCAAAATTATTTTTTTAAGATGAAGGTGAAATTCAGACTTCTATAAACATATAGACTTGGAGTACTAAAATCAGCCCTGAAGGAATAAGCAAAATGGAGTGTTCAGAAGGATGAAATGATGAGTTAGTGTCCTTTGTAAGGACATGGATATACCTGGCAACCATCATTCTCAGCAAACTGACACAAGAACAGAAAATCAAACACCGCATGTTCTCACTCATAGGCGGGTGTTGAACAATGAGAACACATGGACACAGGGAGGGGAGCATCACACACTGGGGTCTGTTGGGGGAGATATAGGGGAGGGACAGCGGGGAGTGGGGAGTTGGGGAGGGATAACATGGGGAGAAATGCCAGATAGAGGTGATGGGGAGGAAGGCAGCAAATCACACTGCCATGTGTGTACCTATGCAACAATCTTGCATGCTCTTCACATGTACCCCAAAACCTAAAATGCAATAAAAACTATATATGTGTATATATATATATATATATATATAGGAATAGAAAGGCAAAAAAAAAGAAATACAGATGAGAAAGAGAGAGTGGAAGGGTTGAAATTTTTACATAAATTTATTATTAAGTGTACAAGACAAAGACATCAGAAACTCAATGGGAGATAGTCTTGTTTAGAGCGATCTAAGTTTCTTACACAGAAAGATGATATCAGTAACATTTAACATTATATTTTAGTAGTTAAAGATATATTTTGTAATCTCTATTTCAAATGTAAAGTGGTAATCTCTGAAGTAATATCTCTGTACAAGTGTATAAAAGAATAAATAGTTTGAAACTTTTTGGAATAAGAACCATTAATATTCTTAAAATCTTACAGAAGGAATTTTGCAGATTTTCATGTGGTATGTCTTTCACAGCCTACCATAGGAAATAAAAGTATATTTCCATTATAGAAAACCAAATTACAATTTAAAAATATATATTTATGAATTCACTTAAAATAACAAAGATTAGCCCCTTATATCTTAACGTGAACAACTCATTTTATGAGAAAAACTCCCAAGAAATTTTAGCAAGAAGAGCGGCAACGTGTTGATTCCTGTCTGGTTTAATAGAAGGCAGATGATTTCTGGCAAGTCTCTGCATTTATTCTCCTGGGATTTCACACATCATTTCGCTTCCGGAAATCTTTCACTTTATGCCTCTAAAGGAATTAGGGTGAAAAAGGCAAATACTATCTACATTTTGTCAGGAAAATAGTATTGAACTTCCAGATCCTCTAAAAGCATGCAAAGAACATTCAAGGGTCTACAGAATACTCTGGGCCACTGTTGTAAAGTGAAAACTTTAGCAAATGTGATCTTTCAGCTAATCATTTGCTAGAAGTATAAAAATAAAAGTAGTGAAATATGTGAAACTTCAAAATAAAGATACAGAAAAAAATAAACAATTTGTCTATCATCAATCCCAAAAGAAAAGGAGATTAAAAAGAAACAAATGTGACAGAAAAATGTAAGGCACATGGTAAGGTGGCAGAATGTAATCAAAATAAGGCATTAGTTGAACGGCAGGTAAATAGAATAAATGTGCTCATATATATATGAGAGAGAGAGAGGATCTCACTCTATCAACCAGGCTGAATTACAGCCATCACAGTTCACTACAGCCCTAACATGACCTCCCCTGCTCAAGTGATACTCCTGCCTCAGCCTCCTGAGAAGGACTATAGGCACACACACTACCACTCCTGGCTAATCTTTTATATTTTGTACAGACAAACTTTAGCTATGTTGCCCAGGCTGGTCTTGAACTTCTGACCTCAAGAGATCAGCTCACTTCTGCCTTCTAAAGTCCTGGGATTGCAAGACTGAGCCATCATGCCTGGCTTCTTACAAAGGATTTTACACTACAATTTTTTTAAGTAAATAAAATAAAATAAAAACAAAAGCAAAAGCAAAAGGAAAATTCTATATTCTGTCTCTG